AATTTCGAATGGTGGAATAGTTGGTAAGATTGAGTTTGTATTTATTAAGGGGTAATTATCAGAGTCCGGGTAAATATGTTCTTAAAAACCCCGAAATATTTATTTAAAATGTTCAATCAAATCGCCAAAATATGTACATAAAACATATTTTTAATTCACTCTAAATTGGTTCGAATTTAACTTTGTTTACTACAGAAACGAAAAAAAGCTTTTACATTTCCAAATGACAATCTAACAACGTTTCCACATGCTCTGGTATTATTTCTACGATGATCGGAATTTTTTATGTATAGTGAATTTCTGAGGTTTCTCTAAAAGAATATATTTTTATAGAAAAATCGTCGAAATATGTAAAAACATATTTCTGTGTATCAAAAAATGCACATTTTCTGCAAAATCGTCGAAATATGTTAAAACATATTTATATGTACCAAAACCTGGAAATATGTAAAACATGTGAAAATATTTTTTTGACCGTGTGACCTTTGCCTGACCAGGAACAATATCCCAAAGTTTCAACCGATCGGGTTATTATTGAAAAAGTTTAAAATACATACATAGCCGGACTCTGGTAATTATTAAGGGGAAATCACTTTATGGTAATGTCTTGTCTTGTCCGTCCGTCTGTATCCACGATAACTTCGAATATTGACGTGTGGTTTTCTCCAGCGTCTTTTTGAAGTACGGATGAGTTCGAAGATCAGCGTTGTAAATATAATTTACTCAAGGTTGAGTTAAAAAGCTGGTGGATGACACAATAAAAAGCTAAAATTTATCCAACCACTGTGCAAAATTTGTCCAACGAGTAGATAAATTTTGCAAAACCTTGGATAATTTTACTTTCTGGTTGTGCCATCCATCCTCTTGTTTTACTCAATCTTGAGTAAATTTTACTCATTGTTATTTAGAGTGTTTGCATATTTACATATGTATAAATAGAATTTAAATTAATTTTTAAATAGGTCACTTGGACGCGTCGGGATTGGTCTACACCACCATTTATTTTGGGAGTCCAGATTCAGCTCAAAGTGGGACACGAATGATAGTAGTCAGTGTTTCAGAAAAATTTGACGCCCATGCAAAGCTTGGCTTTGACACGATTAAATTGCTTGGTTATATTCGCATGTTACATTAATTTTGTTTCATACATGCATGTTCAAAAAATACGCATTTATTCAAAATTCATTCATTCACAGCCTTGAAAAAAAAATATTCATTCCTTATTCACTCATTCGTAATTTAAAAAAATTACTTCTTAATTATTAAATATTTATTCATTATTCACCATTCCTTCATTATTCATTTTATTAAAAATTCCCCGTATTAGATGAATTTCTCAACTTTCCATGTGCATTAACCATTGAGTAAAAAATGAAAGATGAGAAAAATTTCATTCATTATTCATTCACACGAATCAGAACAAAATATTTATCCAATATTCATTCAATGTTTGAATATAAAATGAATAATTTATTCATTCATCATTAAATGAATGAATGTGAACATGTATGATTATAATACTTTATCTAATAAAGATTAATAGTTTGCATTTTCATGAAAATTCTCCCGAAAAGTGAAGTACATAGATAAATCATATCCGCAAATACATTCATCGTTAATTCATAACGTTAATTACAAAACGGGAGTAAAAAAAATTGCGTAATAATATGTAAATCATTCCAGATTCAACTGGAAAGGTCAAAGGTCACAGAGAATAGCCAAAAAGATGACGTCGTCGTCCCCGTGTCGCCCAAAATTATCGATAATAATTCAACCTCGACCTGCTGTTCGATCTGCTCCGAATGAACAAATTTGAGTCCAATTAGTCTCCCAGAAATGGAAATTCTTACCAAATTCGTCCTCCGCGAGGAGGAAATTTCTCTCATTTTGCAAACTATGAGGCGATATTTTCTTGTGCAATTTGCTCCTCCGTGATCCTCTCGTTGGCCAGGTTGACGACGCAAATTCAGAATGTGACCATGTCCTTGCGTGCCGTTATTTCGAGGAGGAACGGGCTCTTTAATCGGGTACAGAAAGGGGACGCTCGGCTAACAATGGAGGTCTCAGACCATTTTAATTAGTACGAAATTTTGCAAATATCTCCTAATCCGCACAGATATTTGCATACAAAGAGGAGAAAACGCGTCCTATACTTTCCAAATTTACTGCGTGTTTTCCCCTCCTTAATGTAAATATCTCTGCAAGACGTGTCCTTCGCAAATTTCATGATAATCATTAATTAGTATGAAATTTACTTAGTAATTTAATTTGTTTCCGATTATGGTCAAAATCAGATCACGTACGGTGAGAGGCCTCCACTAGTGCGTTTAATTTGCAATTCCATAATTAAATTTTTCAGAATTGTACAACGATATTTGTCACGAATTAACCGGATTTGTGGAGGTGGATGAAGAATTTATCGTAAAAGTCGAGCCACCCGATGACTTCAATGACAACGACACTGAAATCCTGTCGCCAGGGTCGAAATACGAGCCGGACGAGGATACAGATGCAAACTTAGCATGCTCCGAATCCGGTGACGATGATACGGAAAAAGAGGGATTCGTGTGCAAAATATGTGCCAAAACGTTCACCCGTCGTGACCATCTCGTTCGCCATTTGAAGAACAAGAATGTCCACGGAAATGGGAAAGTTGCGGGAGTCGATCTTATTAAAAAAGGAGTCCACCGAGTTAAAAAAGTTGCAGGTAATGTCTAATGAACAAAGAACGATACTACATCCCCCTTCCCCCGCATAAGGGCATGTTTTCATAAAAACATTTCCTGAAATTCCAAATTCAGATAAAAAAAACAAGATATTAACCAAAAGTAATCATGCATTTTTTTCCTTGTAGCAAAAACCGTGCTCAAATCGGACCAAGAAAAAGGGTGAGATTCGATTTCAGCATTTTTTAGTTATGTACACTCTTAAACATAATGTTCCCCTTTTTTTAAGAGCAAGTCTGAATTTTGCTGTTAGTAAATTACCTACTAGCAGTTAAGCCCGTCTCCCGCGGGGCGAGAGCTTATTTGTTTATCATGAAAATTGAGTGGGATTGTTCATAATTCCACAGAATTAATTTTTATTGTACATATTTATGTACATATGTAATTAGCTGGAAATATCTGTTTCGCGCCATTCGAAACTTAACTTTCTCCACTTTCACTTGCGTTTCGGAAAATTACTTTTACTTCCGTTGCCAACAAACATATCCAGCTTATAATATAGAAGATACTAAATCCAACATAAACAGGATGAAGAGTAAAGTTTACTGTGATTTTCTTTATTTAGAAATTAGACTGCATTTCTTGCTCAAAAGGGTCACACTATTTTTAAGTGTGTAATTCTAATTAAATTTTTACTCGTAATCCAGCCGACCCATCGAAAAGAGGCAACATCCCTGCCCCTCATGCGAGAAACGGTTCGATTCAAAGCACGCGTTACGCCAGCACACGCGCTGGATCCACGAGAAGATTAAACGCCCCCGGAAATGTGACATTTGTCCGGCCACCTTCTCCTGCTTAAAAACGGTTAAAAAGCACAAGGAGAAGGTTCATGGTGTCGTCCCCACCCGGAAAAACCCGCCTGTCCGGTATCCGTGTCACATCTGTGGAAAAACTTTTAGCCGAACGACGGGTGTCAATTTGCACTCCGAAATAGTCCACTACCCGAATAAGACGGTCTGTCCATACGGATGTGATGGTCAGTTTGACTTGGAGGCGGACTGGGTGGCGCATTTGGAGCGGTGCGACGCCACAAAAATGGTAGGAACACAGGAGTCGATGACTTGTCGTCAAAATCACCACATTTTTAAGCATTTCTTCGCTCTGGGAATTTATTTCAAAATTCTAGACGACAAATTTGTAAGTTGAATAGAATGGCGACGAGTTTTTAGAGACAGTTTCAAAAAATTACAATTTTTCTGAAGATTTCCTTAAACTTGAGATCTCTTTCTTCAAAAAAGTGTTAAAATCTGGAGTATATGTTTTTACAAAATTGGCGACGACCTGGTCCACAAATTTGTAGTCCAGAATTTTGAAATATGTATATTCCCAGAGCATAGAAATTATTAAAAATGGGATAAAAAGATTTCGACAATTTTGGCGAGGAGTCATGGAATCCTAACTATGTTAAAAATCTGTACATTTTCTTGAATTTCGTAATTATAACTTCTTCTTTTTTTGCAGGGTGCAGAATCCGTGTGCGTTTGTAAAATTTGCAACGCCGCGTGCCGCAACATATTTTTAAGAGTGGAACATATCCTGCGCCTCCATCCGGACAAGGTGTACTCGTGCAGTGTTTGTGAAGGGAAATTCACCTGTTTTGAAGCCCTCTACAAACATCGGCGGACGCATAGGAAAGTCGACCTAATTTTAGATATGTGAATGAATAAGATGTTAAAAATGTTTGCGGATTTTTTTGCCAATTTTTTTTCGCAAGTACATACAGGTCAATTTTAAATGTGTTTATTATCTAAAGTGTGTAGCACATGGATTCATAGATATGTTCATACCTAAATAAATACATACGCTGAATATACCGAGTAGAATAATTATTTTATGCATATTTGACGCCGACGGTCAAATTTTGACCTCCGGATGATAACCATTGTTTACATTAAGGTGCAATGGTTGTCACGCGACCTCTTCCCAAGTTGTTTTGCTCCATGAAATTAAAAAGCATGCAAGAGTTGCAAATTAGAATTCATTTTAACCACGTTTGAATACTGTGATAAACCAAACTGTGTAGAAAATAGTGAATTTGTTGGTTTTCATACAATTTGTCTCGTTCAAAAACCATAGTAATCATTAAAATCGATGATTTTCATTGTTTCCTTTTTTAAAATTTTCCTTCTTCAAAAAAACATAACGAAATGTTTATGATTTAAAATCATGAAGCTATTTCGTTATGTTTTTTTTTCATGAACAAAGACGAGCGAGCATGCCACGTGCTCGGGGGAGATGGATTTTATTCTCTCCCAAAATAATAATAAACACGACACAAAATCAAAAATATCTACTTTGTTTCTAAAAAATCGAATATATTGATAATGACACATTGTTACAACCCTGGAATTTAAAATCTATCCCATTCATCGGTTTTAATTGTGAAGAAAGTTAATGTAGAGTTAGAATTTTAAATTTAAAAATTGTGATTCAAAATTCAGAAATAATTTCGTAACCATGGCAACCCCACGACTACCGGTGTGTCTATTTTGTCGAAATGGTGATTGTACCTCCTCCTGGTCCGATTTATTTCCCCAATTTTTAACTTATCTCGCCACGATTAATATTCCTGTGGAAAATTTTGAAAATTTCTGCCCTGAAAATTTCCATTCTTGTCAGAAATGTGGCTCCCTTTTGCAAACGATTGCTCACCACGTGCACCAACTGGGAGAAGATTTGCTCACCATTTATCGCGTAACGTTGCAAAATATGAATCATAATTCGGACGATGACGACGACAACATTTTCGAAATTTGGAGGAGGCGAAGCGTTTCTCGTGAGATTTAATTAATTAGTTAATTAAACTGTTAATTACAAATTATGTAAATTTTAAAAAAAACTATATTTTTGTAGGATTTAATACTTCCATCTCTTCGGGGAAAGATTTCCTGGAAAATTATGACCATAAAGACAATATTTTACGTAAGAGTTTTTCATAATTTATTTATCTACTTGTTTACTTTACGAACATTGGTGTCGGAATCAGGGGGATTCCCCCCCAGAAATTTAACAACATCCTATCTTGTCCATGTTAATAAGTCCCTCCTCTTCCTCCTATCCCACGATGGTAATTGGTAATGTAGACAAGACAGAAACATTAGTTAATATTTCTGTCTTGTCTACTAATTAGTTAACTCCTCTATTCATTTACATCTTCATATTTTTTAAGCGAATGTATCACAATTTCTAAGAAAATCCAGATTTGCATAGATAAAAATTGTTAATTCCATTCCACCGAAATTTACGTAGATTCGGAAATAGAAAATATGGAGCAGGAATCACCTTTCAAGCGTGGAGTAAATTACGACGATGTTGACATCGACATAAAATATGAGGTCGACCAAGAAACCCAAAATCTGGATTTTGCAGATGACCACCATTCGCCCCCTGAAGAAGAGGACGAAATTCCCCCCGAGGAAGATGACGAATCCTATTTAAACGACATTCTCGAACTCGCCGATGACGCCGACGATCCTCCAAGTCCATCCAGACAGGTAGAAAATTCAATGACAATTTTTTGAAAAATGTATTTTAATGAAAAATTAAGTTTTTTTAAAAATTTGACATGTTCCTTTCACAAATTCAGGCTTCATCATCTCATAAGCGTCAAAGTACCGCTACCCTGAAACCGGAAACCACGAAAATATTGAAGTTGATCGGCACCAATTCGATCCAAGGTACATAACCAAACTGGTTTAAACCAGTTATTAAATAATAAAACAAGCATTTTTATTTTATCGCTAAGGCAATTTACGCGGGTTTTTGTAACCTTGTAAAATTCTGTAAACTTACAAACTTTTTCAGATTTAGGGACATTAGCTTAAACAATTTTGTATGCTTGCCCCGATTTTATAAAATTATTTTCCAAAATTTACGGAAGTTACACTTAATCTGATAGAGTCACACAGTTCTTGCCAAGGTAAATTCTGTAATCTTGCAAACTTTTACAATTTTTTTTAACTATTTCGAAGGGAACTTAAGTTTTTAATTTGATTGTTCTAAACTTCGTAAGATTGCTGGGGTTACTTTATTTTGTAAAATTACGTATGGTACAACTAAACACTGTGCGAGTATTTTTGGAAGGAAAATTTACGAAATTTTGGTTTTTCAGTGGCATCAAATTCATTCTCAGTAAATGGTTCGTAATAAATTTACAAAACTTGAGAATAAGTCATCTAATTTTATACTTTGTGCAGAGTTCGATCCTAAAAATGTTCCAGTCAATCTCTGCGGAACTTCGGAAATTGAAATTAGGGACCTGATTCGTACAAATTTTGACCTCGGTGTTTCATCCTCAGTGTTGGATTCAATGAGATTTCTTTTCATCTTGCCCTGAGTTTTTGAGTCTCCCACTATAGCGATTGGCATTCTCTTTATATATATCAACGGCCACTCAAATATTATTCTCTCACCAGATTCAGTAAAGAGTGGATGAATCTTGGATTTGTTAATTAAAGTTAAAGTTAAAATAAATCTATAAAACCCAGTAACCAGTAATCTCCATTGGACTACTCTTGGCAATTATTCTGTGAAGTGGAAACATTGTTTCTTAGTGTAATTGTGCATTGGTGGTAGGAGTTACACCCTCTTTTCACCCGGCCCACATCAGAGAGCACGTTTTCCTGTGGAATTCACCCTGCCCTCAACATTTGGCGCCCAACGTGGGGCCTCGGCGTAGAAAAGTGAATCCTTGTGACCTGCGACGCATTGCAGACCAGGCGAGGAGCAGACCGTGTCGACTTATCGGATCACCAATTTTGCCTCTTTGAGGGCCAGATCCCCGGCATCGGGGAGCAGATAAGGTCGATATCGTTCGTTATAAGATAATATTTTCGTCTCTAATTCCTTTCGTTTCTTGGGTCACCTAATTAATAAGATTCGCCGTGGATATGGACCGTCTAAAGAAGGCCAGGACTCCAGTAAGGGCTTCGATCACCAGGACCTCGAATGAAGTGGAAGCAGAGTTGATAAAACCAGAACCTGGCAAGGACGTCCTCGAATTCAAACTTCACAAGTTGGAAAATCTACTGGAGGAAATAAACGACCTTGATCAAAAAGTGAAGGACATGATGTTGGATGAGAATCAGTCAGAAGACGACTACGCTCAAGAAACTTCTAGAATGGAAGAATTTACGGATAAAATTGGGGTCGCACGTCTGAAGATTCAGAAAATAATTCATCCAACAGGAGTGTCAATAAGTCCATCCGCCAGTTTGTACAGCACAGCTGACGGAGGAGAAAATAAGAAGTTTAAGCTTCCGAAGATCGAGTTCCCAAAGTTCAGTGGTGAAATTAAGGACTGGTTAAATTGGTGGGGTCAGTTTAAGAAAATCCACGATGACAAACAGATAGAGGACGGGGACAAGTTTCACTTTCTCACCCAATCAGTCACCGCCGGATCCAAGGCCGCTACTGCAATTGCCAATTTCCCTGTCACCGCCGAAAATTATCCAAAGGCAATCGATATTCTTCAGAAGCAGTTTGGAGATTCAAAAGTATTGTGGAAATACTACATGAGAGATCTGACAGCTTTAATCCAGAATGGTCCCAACAGAGGAAAAGTGTCCCTTTTCTCCCTTTACCACAAATTGGAATCTCAATTAAGAGCACTCGAGTCGTTAGGAAATGTGACCAGAGATGACTTCCTGTGCCCACTGGTGGAGTCAAGTTTACCGTCGGAGACCCTCGTCGCATGGCAGAGGAGTTCAAATTATGGAATTGACGGTTCGAAAGCTAATCCACCTAAATCTGAATTGGATTATCTGCGTGAATTTCTGCAGAAAGAAGTACAAAATGAAAACATGCGAGCAATGGCTCAAGGAGTATCAATGACGACTCCTAATAAAGAAAAAGTGTCGAAACCAAAGAGTCTGAAGATGACGTCCCAACCATAGCAGCACTACACGTCGCAGCGAATGCCAGAAGCTGTCTATTTTGTGGGAAGACAAGTCATGAAACCAAAGACTGCGGTCGAACTAAGCAACTCTCCATAAAAGAAAAAGAAGAAAAATTGATGGAGGGGAAGGCGTGTTTACTTTGCTTCAAACCAGGACATTTTGCAAGAAAGTGTAAATCATTCGTCAAGTGTCTGGTGTGTGAGAAGAAGCATCAAACAGTGATGTGTCCAAAGATTCACGAACAACAAGAAGGTCACCCGGTACAGTCCGCCATCAATTTAAGTATCAACAAAGGAGTGATGCTTGAAACATTGTTAGTAAAATTGGTGGGAGCGGATAACAAAGTCTTAAAAGCCAGGATTTTCTTGGATCGAGGAGCGATGAGAAGCTTCATCAAGAAATCAACAGCAGAAATGATGGGTTATCAACCGGTTGGCTCTCAGATTTTCGGAAAAACCTTACTGGGAGGAGTCAACATTGAGCGGAAGTCGTACAATGTCTACCAGGTCAAAATAAGGGATTTGAAGGGGAAGGTTTCAAAAATATTGCAGCTGACAGAGCAGGAGCCCTTCATTTGTCAACTACCCACGATACCAGACGGACCATGGATTCAAGAACTGAAACAGAATAAGATTTCATTAAGTGACTTCGGCCGTGATGACACCACAGGCATTGACATATTAATTGGAGCAGATCAAATGTCACAAATTCTTACCAAGAAAGTTCTTCATCTAAAATGTGGATTGACTGCAACTGAAACTGTATTTGGATGGGTAATAATGGGACCACTTCAAAGAGATGAAACCATTGGCTCCATTTTGTGCAGTCACGTAAAGGATGAAAACGTGTCAAAATTATGGGACTTGGAAACCTTAGGAATTCGCGACACCATTGAGACCGAAACGGAAGCCGAAAAGGAGGAAGAGGCTAAGAAAAGCTTCGCCAAAAATCTAAAAAGGGCACCGGACGGAAGATACTCAGTTGGACTGCCGTGGGTGAATCAACTCCAAGAGATTCCATCAAATAAGTATGTAGCTGAGATGAGAACAATAAATATGACCAAGGGACTCATTTCAAAAGACAAATTCAATCAATACAATGAAGTACTGAAGACATGGCTGGCGGAAGGACTTATAGAAAAGGCGGCCGATAACGACAAAAGCAACAAGTGTCATTATTTACCACACCGCCCAGTGTTTAATGAGAAGTCGCTTACAACACCATGTCGACCAGTTTTCAACGCATCATGTAAGGTGGGGCGCAACCCGTCACTGAATGAGTGTCTCTACACCGGCCAGAACAAGATTGTATTCCTACCATCAGTGCTAATGCGGTTTCGTGAAAAAAGAATCGGCGTCATTTTCGATATTCGTAAAGCCTTTATGATGATCGCCATCAATGAAGAAGACAGAAACTTCCTCCGATTCTTTTGGTGGGAGGACGAGAGGATGGAAAAATTAGCGATTGTCCGACACTGCAGAGTTTTGTTTGGTGTAAACAGCAGCCCGTTCTTACTCGCAGCCACAATTGAACACCACCTCAACAGTTATCAAAATCAACTCAAGAATATTGCGACGAAACTCTTAAACAGTCTCTACATTGACAACAGTGTTACGTCGGTGGAGAGTTATGAAGAATATGAAGATTTTCGTGCAAACTCGACGAAGATGATTTTGGAGGCCGGAATGGATTTAAGATTGTGGGAGTGCAGTCGAAGAACAGAGGACGACAAGAAGACTGAACAAGCCAACGTGTTGGGAATTATTTGGGACAAAATGGAGGATACCTTGAAATGTGATATTCCAGTAAAACCAGAAATTATAACCAAGCGGAAAATCCTATCAATCCTTCATCAAGTATTTGATCCAATTGGACAACTTTGTCCGTCATTACTCCAGCCTAAGATGTTGTTACAAAAAGCGTGGATTCAGAAGTGTGAGTGGGATGATAAGAATTTGCCAGAAGAAATCACCACCGCGTTTGGCAAATGGGTAGATGAATTACCAAGCTTAGCAGAAATCAAAGTTCCAAGGCAAGCTTGTTACACCGAAAATACCAGTGCCAGACAAATTCACATGTTCTGCGATGCCAGCCGCGACGCCTATGCAGCAGCGATTTTCATCAGGTCAGAGACGCCGGAGGGAGTCAAAGTACAACTTATCCACGCAAAGAATAGAGTGGCACCTCTGAAGAAAGCCACTATTCCAAGATTGGAGTTACTTGGGTGTTGGATGGGAGCTAATCTTACCAAGACAGTAAAGGAGGCTTTAGGCGACAGTTTGACCTTCTACTGGACAGACTCATCGACAGCCCTGGCGTGGATTAAAAGAAATGACCACTGGGGAACATTTGTGGGGAATCGAGTCAAGAAAATCATTGAATTATCGTCTGTGGAATCATGGCGACATATTCCAGGAATTCATAATCCATGCAGCCCAACTGAATTATTGGCATCGAGATGGTGGGAGGGACCAGCGTGGTTAAAGGAACCTATTGAAAAATGGCCATCAAGTTTACCCCTATATGATGAGACGGAAATTCAGCAGGAGTTAAGAAAGACACCCCCTGAAGTTATCTCCACACAAGTTGACAAATTTGAGCCACGATTTTCTGTGTACTCAAAGAATGTACGAGTTTATGGATGGATACGAAGATTTATAAACGCTTGTCGCAGTAAGAAGAATAACTCGAGGAAAACTGCAGATTTGGAGCCTTTATCCATTCAAGAGATGCGACTGGCTGAACTCGACTTAATATATGAAATTCAACAACAGACCATGCCGGTTAATTCGAAAATAGTATGGGGACTTCCAGTAGAGAAAACTGAGAGACTTTATCGAGTGACCACGAAACTAACACATGTGAAGGAAGAGTGGAATTTCAAACGCCCAATTCTCCTCCCGAAAAATAATCCGCTGGTAGTTCAACTTGTAGAAGAACTACACCGTACATACTGTCATGCGGGAGTGCAGTATTTAATGGGGAAACTTCGCGAAAAGTTCTGGATTCCACAAGCTAGAAGGACGATTCGCTCCATCCTGCATAAATGTGTGACGTGTCGCCGATGGGACGCAAAGAAGACGGAAGTAGATCCAGCAGCATTGCCGGAGAAGAGAGTAACGATCTCCGAGGCATTTGAAACCAAGGGCGTGGACCTGGCTGGCCCCCTCTACCTAAAAGATGGAACAAAGATTTGGATTGTTCTATACACGTGCGCAGTATATCGCTGTGTGCACCTAGACCTGGTCGACTCTCTGAGTACCGAAGCATTTTTAAGATCTCTGGAGAGATTTATCTATTCAGAAGGAAGACCAAATACCATATTCTCAGATAACGGAACAAATTTCGTCGGCGCTGCCAACCTCTTGAAAACCCTGGATTGGAACGTGCTGAAGGAGGAAATGAATGTAAAATCAATTTCCTGGACCTTTAACCCCCCCACTGCCGCGTGGTGGGGAGGATGGTGGGAACGACTAGTGAGAACAGTTAATGACCTACTTCGTCGCACCTTGGGATCAGCCAAATTAACCTTTGATGAGATGCGAACGAGTTTGGCAGCCGTGACTCATACAATTAATGGTCGACCTCTCGCCACAGTTACCGAAGATTTCGACGACTTGGTACCACTGACACCGTCAATGTTTCTGCGTGGATTACCAATGCAAGGATTTCCAGAAAATGAATACATCAGTCCGAGCAATTTGCAGAAGAATTATAAGAAGATGAACAGTCTTAAGAAGCAGTTCCAAATACGCTTCAGGAATGAATATCTGGCCCAGTTAGTTCATCAATCAAAGCTACGACCTTGCTAAAAATTGGAGATGTCGTGCTAGTAGGAGCGGACAATGTCAAGCGATATTCATGGCCCATGGGGAGAATCGTAGATCTATTTCCTGGAAAAGATGGCAAGACTCGGGTGGCAAAGGTTAAAACCACGAACGGCTTTCTCCTCAGACCATTGCAGCGGCTCTACCCTTTAGAAGTTTGGCACCCAGAAGACCTCCCCAATCTAAAACCGGAAGTGAGAAGCAAGGCTGTAAACCAGAAAAAGCGATTCATGAGGATCGAAGAAGACGACGCCACGGAAGAAGTGGACAAGATGGAAGCTCCAGTATATACCAGAGTTGGAAGAAAAGTCGTCAAACCATCAAAGTTTGGGGATTGGAGCAATTAGATTAGTAGTAATTAAAGTAGTTTCTTTCCTTTTCAGTAAAGAAAGTGGGAGAATGTTGGATTCAATGAGATTTCTTTTCATCTTGCCCTGAGTTTTTGAGTCTCCCACTATAGCGATTGGCATTCTCTTTATATATATCAACGGCCACTCAAATATTATTCTCTCACCAGATTCAGTAAAGAGTGGATGAATCTTGGATTTGTTAATTAAAGTTAAAGTTAAAATAAATCCATAAAACCCAGTAACCAGTAATCTCCATTGGACTACACTTGGCAATTATTCTGTGAAGTGGAAACATTGTTTATTAGTGTAATTGTGCATTGGTGGTAGGAGTTACACCCTCTTTTCACCCGGCCCACATCAGAGAGCACGTTTTCCTGTGGAATTCACCCTGCCCTCAACACTCAGTAAAACTTGACAATTTGGGCGCGCATCGTCTTTTTCTCCTGGAGAAAAAGACGATGCCTTTATTGCCGCCAGTATTAAACCCGAACCGGGAATCGGGTCGGACAATTTTACAACAATGTCTTCATCTTTTGCTCAAAACGACGAGGAAAATCGGGTCGATTCGGGCCCCGCAAAAAATTCTAAAATTTTTTATCCCGACGTCGAAGTGAAAGTCGAGCTGGACGATTTCGTCATGGTCGACGACATGAATTCCACTCTGGAAAAAGATCCGCTCGGTTTATGCGAAGAAAATCATACAGTAAATTAAACAAGGAATAATTTACAAAAATTTTTAAGGAAATTTAACCCGTTTAATTTGTCTTTTATAGACACCGTCGTCTCCACCGTGGACTGAAAACATTAAAACAAAAGAACTTGGTAAGTGCAGTTTTTTGTAAACTATGAAATTTAAGAAATTAATGAATAGATAAGAAAATTAACGCGGTACTTGGTAACATTGCAAATTCCTTACAAACTTTTACAAATATGTATTTCGTAGGAAAAAAATTAACTTTTTGTATACTTTATAATTCGGATTATAAGAGTTTCTTTATTTTGGGAAAATTTGTAAATTACGGTAGAAAAGGCGGATAATTGAGTACTTTAGTATGAATTACATACATGAATCATCGTTTTGTTCATTTTTTCAGAATTGTGGCGCGGTTTCCATGACGACGACGCCGCCGACCAGTTGGACGACGTGGAGGAGGAATATTTCGTAAAAGTCGAGGAGTCAACCCAGGATGACGATGAAATCATGACTCCTGGTTCGGAAATCAGCTCGGTCCCCCGTCGTCTTAATTTGCTAAAATTACGAGTAGTGTGCAAAATATGTGCGAAAACTTTCTCCCGACGGGATCACCTCCTCCGCCACTTGAACAGCAAGAATGTCCTTCGTGCTAAAAAAAGGGGCCAAGAAATTAATCTATATTAAGTAAACTATATTTACTCTAACGTTACGCTGGATTTGGTATGTATAATTTACACAAAATTGAGAATGCATTTACACAATTTTTAAGTGTGTAATTTGGATAAAATTTTAAAATTAGAATGGTATTTTGATATTTTGTATGCAAAATTTGGTTTAATAAACCATAGGAGTAAAACTTGCCCAAATATGTCGGATGTAGATTTAAAATAAATATGCAAATTAATTAATTAATTATTTATTTTTAATTAATTATAATTATTCTCGGAAATGCTTTTGAAAAAAATTAAACACAACGTTACAGTGATGACTCTAATCTCAGCAGAATTTTCGGAATTTAATTTATTAAATAAAATTTGGCAGAATTTGAATTATGCAGCTGTGAATTATTAAATTGCCTTTCGAGATGTGATAATATTTTCAAAAATCTGAGGGGGGGGGGGGGTTTCAGGGACCCCATCCTACATATGCCATGTCTAATCCTAGTTTTTCTAGTGTTTTTCAAGCGAATTGTGTCAAAAATTAGGAATCACTTAATGACACTCATATTTTCGTTTCACGAAACATAAACATGTTTCGTTTTCAGTAAAATTCTGCACATTTTGAACAAACTAATTTCAAAATATTTATGTAAATTTGCAACCCATTGTATTTACTTACTTCATTTGCATACAATCGACAAATCGCATAAATCATATTGTGTCAATCATTCCCAAAATTTGCTCCCCACAAGATTTTTTGTCAAATGAAATGAGGCTCTGGCTAATGGATTGTTAATAATAAAAACTTTACAAGTCGGGTATTAAGACAAAAGTAGGAAAATATGGAACCGAAATTTTGTCAAATTAATATGAAAAATTCCCTTTTGATCAAATTTACATATTTGCAGTGACTCAAATAAATAAATTATGTAATTGTAAATTTTGGAAACAATTGCATTACGTGGACATCGGCACGTACGTCGCTTATTTTCTGAAAGCATTTCCATTGTTCCAAAAATAGTACCGTTTGCAAATAAAATTTTTGCACACGGCTGTCGACAGGGTTTCGCATGTGATGTCACATATTGTCAAAATCAGTATTTTATAATTAGACACTTTTTCATATTAAAAAAACATGGTTGTGAAAAATAGGAAATAAGTGGGAAAGTTTAGTAAATGGAATAAGTCGTTATTGAATAAATTTTATCTAAATATAGAATTTTTCAACAGGAAAATTTAAAATTTGTAACTTAAGTGTGTGAAAAAAATCAAAATTCTACTTTCGTAACTTTACAAACTTAAAAAAGTATCGATTTTTAGATCCAATACATAAAATCCTCATTAAAAAACCGCATGGACATGGGCATTTTTCAAAGTTGTAATTTTAATAAATATAAGATGGGCAAGTTGAGACACAAAAATTTAAATTCAAAACCCGCATGGAATGCGGCCTTAATTCTGTGTAAATCCCCGCGTCGTCGTGATACTAACATGAGCCGAGTTATTCGTATATATTTCAAAATTCGCAGCCTCCCCCCCCCAATAACCCCCCGCCCTTCGTGAAGATGGAGAACGAGATTAATACGAGAGAATCTCTACGGCGCGTGAACGTGCAAAATCATTTGGAAAGCGGGGAACGTTTCCTGAAATTTATAATCTAAGAAATGTTGAAAAACTTCAAGGCTTATGGAGCATTTGAAAAGTTACCGGGAATTAGCGAGCATTTTGTATAACTGAATTTGAAAAGTTTCCGCCAAGTATTCAGGAAATTTTGAAAAATTTTCGAGCATTTTTAGCGTGGGACGTGTTTCCCTGATTTTCTTACTTTCCGGGTATAATCCAGAAATCGAGCCCCATTTCTGACTAATATTCCGAATCACAAAGTTCGAAACCCTGGACTCAAAGTTGCCAAATTTTGATCGACCATTAATTTTTGCGTGGTTTAATTTTCCATTGTTTTTCACTCCCCACGCGTCACTCGGGTCCTTGTCGGCCTGATATAAAAAAAAACAGCCCGGGTCCTAGCCCACATTCATATCCAGCCTTTCTTCCCCGCTTTTTACCTACCTTTGCTCGGAAACTTAAACGAAAGTAAGTCTCACTTCAAAAAGAGGGTGCTATAAAAATACGTCCCCCAAAAATCCCCTTTCCCCCACTCACCCTCTTTTCGTGCCATCTTTTCCCTACTTTTACGGGACTAGGATACAAACAAATAAAGAAATTGGTCCAATCTCACTTTACCCCAACCAAAGAGAGCGGGAAACTTTGTAATTCCGTAAAAATCTCATTTTGCCCCTGACCACTAAATAACACACCCCTTTATTTCTCAAGGGTAGTCAGACTTCCCCCAGGGGTAATACATATGTATCTACACAAAATGCGAAAACCCGGTACCGATTATGTATTTACCTGTCTCGATTCCTTTTATCCGCATCATCCTTCTGACGGGCTGACAGTCAGCCAGACAGACGGATAAAAAGTGTTGGCATAAAGTAGCTTCAGCTACTGAATAATTCTTAAATACCCGGGGAATTCATTTAACCCGGTACAAATCCTATTTCCCAAATTGTGAACTAAGCTTAATTCTTTCATTTTTTACGCACAGGGAACTTAAAGATGAACAAGTCCACCAACCAGGCCTTGGTTTTCGTGGTCGTTCTCGTCCTCTTGGCTGGAAGCTTCAGATAAGTCAACGCTGACCCGGTCGGACTGGGTAAGTTCAACACGTTAAAAACTGGGCCCCAAAATAAATAGAAATTTATGAAATTTTGAACCAAAACGAGAAATTCTCCAAATTTCAAAAAATAGTAAATTATTTCCAACAAGCTACCTCTTTTTGCCAAGTATGTATTTATGTATGCAGATAATTATCACTTGTCACAATTACACATTTTTTTAGGCTTCATGAAATTAATTACAGCATGATTTTGCACATTCTGTAAAAAAAATCCAGTATTGGATTACAATCCCATGCGGTTTTCATGTATTTAGGTAGTATTTATTAAAGTGGAATTAAAATACCGTGTACGTAGGATGGAACATTTTAGAACTTTTACAGAAATTCAAATCATAACAAGAATTGTGCAAAGTTGTGTGTGTGTGTGTTACCTTTTGAACCAAGCGCTTTACTCGATGAGGTGTATCATATTACCCCATATTTATTTAAATTACTGGCCAACGCCACCTAGCGGCACTTTCCGGTACCACGTTGCACTTTTTTTCCGCTAGAGGGCGTTTTTCGAAGAAAGTATCAACACGTTCTCAAAACGTTCTCAAAGCATTTCACTCGATGACGTGTATCATACTGCCCCATCTTTATTAAATTTGCTGTCCAACGCTACCTAGCGGAACTTTCAGGTACCAGGTTGCTTTTTTTGCCGCTAGAGGGCTTTTCTACCGATCGAGTCAAAACGTTCTAAAAACGTTCTCTATACGTTCTCAAAACGGTCTTTAAACGTCGGCAAGCATCAGAATAGCGCAGCCCCAAAAACTGATTTTAGATGCCGCAACATGAATATCCACTTCAATGCAATGCTTCGCAACCAATTGAATTGTTAGCGAGATGCCCATGCCGTAAAAGTAATCAAAACCAAGAATTGTGCAGTGGTGTGTGTGTGTGTGTGTGTTACCAGTTGAACTTGGCGCTTGATTACGCATGTGTCTCACATTGTCTAATCTAACGTCACCTAGCGGCAGTTTAAGCACTATGTTGCATTTTTCGTTTCTAGAGGGCGTTTTTCGCTCAAGTCTCAAAACGTTTCCAAAACGTTGACCAACACGAAACACACCCTTTGGATCTGCCAAGACTTGATCAAATGAACGGGCTAACCCCCTAGAGTTGACATTTGACCTGTGTCATGGGTACACCCCCTAAAGCTGGCATTTGACCTATGACATGGGCACACCCACTAGACTTGGCATTTGACCTGTGTCATGGGTACACCCCCTAAAGTTGGCATTTGACCTATGACCTGGGCACACCCACTAGACTTGACACCCCCTGTAGTTCTACAGTAGACCCATAACCTGGGCTCACTCACTATGGTTGGCTTATGAACCTATAACTTTGATTTAGAGGGATCAACTGACCTGTGACTTAAGCATACCTATAGGTGACTTCTGGAATCGATACCTTTACATAGATTTGTCACATGACGTGTGACCTAGGAGCATGCAAATGTTGCTACACCTGTGACGCAGGCAAATGACTTATAGTCCGCACATAACTTTGGACACACACTAAAGGCATAAGGTGACCTCGACACACCCCTCAGAGTCGTCAATTGGTCTCTTACCATGCTTAAATGTTAAATGCTTAGTTATGAATTAAAATGCTGTCTATGCTGGAGCCCGCATCGCGGGCTTTGGAGACTAGTTTCTCAGAAACTACGGCACTGTCAGTCAAATTCCATTAAATTACGCTGACGGGGTACTTTGAGACTGGCAGTGCAAGAAATCTCAATTTCTGTAAAAATTCTATCCTGCCCGAATGAAGAGTATGCGCTTCTTTTTTTACAGAATTTCAATCTGTCCCAAGCCCTACCAAGTTTACTTTTAATACCAGGAATGCAGATTTCTAGGAGTGTACATACATATCATCCTAAATTATTTTTTTCTTTACAGCTGACTCGGAGATGGATGGGATGGCGGCGGCGGCGGCGGCGGCGGCAGAGAACAACATCGAGATGCACCCACGCTACCGACGATGTGGTGCCAACCCGAAAAATTGCGGCTGAAAAAAAACGAGATTTTTTAAATATATCAACTAGTAATGATTAGAAGTAAGTATGTAATCCTTGAAATTTCATTGGCATTAGCAACAAAAACTTTTTTGCAATGTGTATTGTTAAATGTAAAATGATGTATTTATGAAATTTTTTATGTATTTTTGTAAATTGTTGAGTACGCGTCTATAATTGCCCCGAGACGTGGTGGTGGTTGCCATGGTGACGTCAGGGTTGGATTTTTGGGTGCGCGTCTCTCTTTGTTAAGTCGTAGTAAGTAAGTAGGTAGAAGAATTCTAGACAGTCGAGTTTTAGTCGTTGTCAAAGTCAGACATTTTGGATTTTTGTCGTCGTGGTAGGAAATCAAGAGTAAGAATTGTTAATTCGTTGTTATTGATGTCCACGATTAATTTGTCAATAGTAAGTCACCAATCAACTCGTGTTGGTGCAGAGCTCTGAATTGTGTTGACAATTAGTAATT